AATGAATCTAGGCTTACACGACAGCATGTAAAATGGCAAAATAGGAAAAGTGGAAAAACAGAAATCTCAATATTGATCAAGTTCCTGCTGTAAACGTGCAAAAGGAAATTTGACACAGGCTTTAACTAGGATTTTTTCAAGACAGCTGCAAACTTGGCCAGGCTCCTAAGATGAAATACTGTAAAATTATGTATCTTTAGAGACACCAAATGGAGGTACTGAAAATAACACCTAACTTAAATACAGAAAATTCTCAACAGAAAGGAACTGTTCCCTGTTCTGTAGTACTTTGTTCAAACCGGACATAGAACATATGGTTTGCCATCGATTAATAAAATTACTCTGAACTAATTTTTGCATTACAAGCCCACAGGACATTCTGGAAATCTCACTTTATTCTGCAGTTTCCCAGGAGATGCCAAAAAAATGGGTCAAGACCAGAGAAGTGATTAGCCTGAGACTCTCACTTTTCCTGAAGTATTATGGGACAAGATGCATCACATATCTCACTGCTTTGGCCTCAAACTATTTAGTGTTTTTTATAAGCTAGGCAAAGTAATAGGGAGATTTTTCTCCATCAAATCAAATTTAATCCACCTTGTAAACTCCCCAAAACACAAGGTATTGCACCAACTAGAACAAAATTGAGCCACCCGGTTTCTCTGGGCCTCTTGATAAAGCTGTTCATGTGACTGAGACAGGAAAGACTCTCACACCTACACTTTTGCCTCATTACATACAAGCTTAAGAACTTGGATTGCTGTAGGTTATCAGATGCAAGACAAATGTAGGATTGTGAAGAATCATGCCCTTATTTTCTTCTCAAGATTGTTCTTATTTACAATGAACATATATGCCACATGCCAACAGACACTCCTTTTTTAACATAAATCGCATTTACACAAACAAATTAGACTTACAGGGATTCCTCTAACAAAATAATACAAAGTGCTTTGTTACTGGATAAACTCATTCGCCACTGAGGAAGAGACTGATTCTCAATAGTGTGATTTAGGCTGCAAGGTATCAAAGTGCAAAAGTGCACTGGATACATGTAATGTATCCTCAGTGTTGATTCTGGGGCTAACACTGTTTAACATCTTCATTAATGAGCTGGACAATGGGGCAGAGTGCACCCTCAGCAAGTTTACAGACAATACAAAACCAGGAAGAGCAGCTCATACACCACATGGTTGTGCTGCCATTCACAGGGACCTGGACAGGCTGGACAACTGGTACCAACAGGAACCTCATGAAGTTCAACAAAGGGAAATGCAAAGCCCCGCACCTGGTCAGGAATAACTCCATGCATCACTACACGCTGCGGACTGATTGGTTAGAAAGCAGCTTTGCCAAAAAGGACCTTGGGGTCCTGCTGGACAGGAAGTTGAACATGAGCCACCAATGTACTCTTGCAGAAAAAAAGACCAATGTCTTCCTGGGTTACAACAGGAAAAGCACTGCTAGCAGGTCAAGGGAGGTGATCCTTCCTCTCTAGTCAGCACTGGTGGGATGCAACTAAAGTACTGTGTACAGTAATGGCACTGGACTTCCCACTAAAAGATATGGACTTACTAAGCAAGTCCAGCACAGGAACTTTGAGATGATTAAGGAGTATCTTTGTATGAGGAGATGCTGAGAGAGCTCAGACTGATTAGCCTGGAGAAGAGATGGCTCAGGCTCAGATAAGATGGCTCTTATCAACATGTATAAATACCTGATGGGAGGGAATGAAGAAGAAAGAGCCAGACTCTTCCTAGTAGTGTCCACCAACAAGACAAGAGACAATGGACACAATTTAAAACCCATGTGATTCTATATGAACACAATAAAACAGTTTTTACTGTGATGGAGGTCAAACATGGGAACAGGTTGCCCAGAGAGGTTCGGAAGTCTCCCTCTGCAGAGACAATGGAAACACAACAGAACAGTTTTGGACAACCTGTGTTAGCTGACCCTGTTTGAGCAGAGGCCTTGGACTAGATGACCTCAAGAAGTCCCTTCCAACCTAAACAATTCTGTGAAAATGATAAAAGAAGTTTAAGAACCTATACTGATAGCTAAGGCACTAGGCTAGGAAGGCACTTGTGTTTAGTCCTCTGCTCTGTCACAGACTTCTTTTTCATAAGCCAAAGCGTTTATTTTAGTTACTAGAATCTGCCTAAGTCAGATCCTCGAAGGACAAGCATACAACCAATTGAAAGAAAACCTCTTTCCATGACTTTGTATAAGAATAAACTATATGAGGTATTCTGCTTTCTTTTCTTCTTCTAAAGTGTCTTGTTAGTCAGCTTCCAAAGTAGAATACAGAACCAGTTGAGCTGCAAGGTTATTTCTTCATGGGGCTTTTTATTTAAATGTGTGCATTTACTGCTAAGGAGAATAAAGAAAGGACAAGACATAAGATTTTGTTCATGTATGTTCTTCATTATGTTGCAGCCTAACTTATTCAGGTGAAAATAAATAAGGCAACTACAGAGAGAAGACAAGACAGATAACAAAGTTTGCTGCTGTATATGCAACCCTAATTATTTATTATGAGAGTGTGTAAATTTTGTACATGGTAAGCTTTAATAGGAATAGAGTAGGAGTCTTCACTCCTAAAATAGCTAACTTGTATGTAACTGCAACTGCTACTTATATTCTAAAACCAGATGAAGAACTAAGTGCACAAAAACACCCTAAAGAATCATAAAAAGTTGTAAAAGTATGAGAAAGAAAAGCCATTAAATAATGTAGCACTTAATGGGCCACTGGCTTGTTTTACTACATGTGTGCTTTGATTGTCTGCACCTGAAAAGTGCATTAATAGCCCATTAGGAAAAGGCAATGCAACTTCGGAGCTATCTAACAGACTGTATCCAATGCCTATGACTAAAATATCTAGAAATGGCCCAAGTCTGGCTGTTTCCCTGATTGAAATGTACACATTCCAATTTTTAACAGCATCATAATGCTCCAGGCAATCCACTTTCCAGAAAGGCTTGTATTTCTCAAGTGATTAAAATCACTCTATTTTGGCCATCTCTGAAATCATCACAAAGGTGTGCGGTAACACAGTCACTAGCAATGCACTGCCTATGGTGCTCATCAATGAAGTAATGGAGCATTTGTGCCAGAGTTGGCCTTTTAATTCAAATGGGAAGGGTAAGAATGCCTGGGGCTGCAGACTGAGGCAGAACATGTGAAATTACAGCACCAATGTGTTTTTTATGAAATAAACTATTTTTTTTTTATTTACAAGATCAACATAGGAACAGCTGTAAGTTAGGATCATCTACTGTTGCTGTGCTGCTCTGAATGCTCAGCATGTATTAGAAAAATTAAACTTAGGATGGATAACTACACAGAAGATAATTAGACCCCTTCTCCTAGAGCAACAGCATGACAGCAACCAACGTCCCCATGTGCTACCTTCCTTCCATGAAGGTGTTGGCACTGTAAAAGACAACACTGCTGTTGACAGAGAACATGCTGTCTCTAAGACAAGGATGAGTGCAGAAGCCACATGAGGAGGTAGCCCCTAGACTGGGAGATTCCAAAACAAAAGTAGTAAGAATTCCACTGCAACTGTGCATGCCACAACTAATCCCAGACGTTCCTACTCATGTGGATGCTTTTGTTTGAGAGGTGGACAAATACATCTATGATCAGGCTGAGAGGACTGGCAACGCTGACCCCTCCTTTTCAAGCAACCAAGAACACAGATGTGCCACTGCTGCACACGAATGAAAAAGGTATCCTTCCTTGGTTTCACTCCTAGTCCCAGGAGCTCCACATCCACTACGCAGCTTGTGAGATGAAAAGAGGAAGTGGATGCCACAGCCCAGACTAAAGATACAAAAAATGGCAGCGCTCAGAATACACAGCCATGTTTCTCTCTCTGCCTGAAGAGTAAGACAAACCCAGAGCAATAATCAAAGTTGTTTTGTAACAGGAGAATGCTATCAGTAATACAGCTCTATAAAGCACGCACTTCTGTGTCATCTACACACCGCTGCCAGAAAAAACAAATAGCAGAGTAGATCATTCTTATAACAGCATTCATAGCTTTTCAATGGAAAGATTCAAAAGTCAAACCTTTATTACCCACTGCAATAACTTGTTCTTAGCCTTGTTAAACTTCTAGTTATCCAGTACCATGGGAATACACAGCAATACATGTAACCCCCCTGTCACAAAAAGCCCAAGACAGTGAGGGAGGCAGGCCTTGCAGGTGTGTAGAACACACTCACAAGAAATGCATAGAGAGAAGGGAAGGCCCAGCATCAGACTTGCTGTGGTAGTGGTTAAGGCAGAGAAGGCACTGCTAAATTTGTAAAACATGGATGGGCACAGATGCAATAGATTAACCCAAACAGAGTAGAGGTAAAGCCATTAATTAGAGCACTGACACCAGATGACATGGCCTGTTTTCAGGCTTGTTCTTGATATGCTGCACGACTTCATGCTAGTCCACTGTTCTTGCATTTCCCTTCCCACTCTTTTTCTACATCATCTGCATATGCTGGAAGCTCATAAGATCAGAGTCTACCTCTGCCTGTACCATGACCAGCTGAGTGGGGTTCAGACTCTGACTGGAACTTTTACAGGTAATAAATACAACTACATTAGCCTCCTCTAAATGTACCGAATAGAAATATAATGGGGGGCTTATGCAGACCAGAGGGAACAGCTGATGACACAGGAAAAAAATGGAAGTAGAAATATAAACAGGAGTGATATAATCTCTAAGTTGAATACAAAATGAAGGAAGGTTGGTGGAGAACTGGATGCTAAGATTTAAAAACAGGGTATCATTGATATCACTGGTAAATCTTCCAGTAACAACATCTCATTGCTTATTTAATTAGCATATCACATTACCTTACATGCTTGATATTAAACTCAGAAGAGTGTGAACAGACACCATGGAAAATCAAATTAACTTGTATTAAACAATATAAAAATGAAAGTTCGCAGTAAAGCATCGTCAAAACACATACAAACATTAAGTTTACCTCAGATCCTAAACTGAGAGAGATTATTTCATCCTCGAAAGCAGAATGTGTATCAATATGAGGAGGAATTCCTGCATAAGGAAACACAACCACAAAAAAAGTTAGTATAATAATCACTGTGCTCTCCCCTTAGGCAGTTTAGCACTTAGCACTAACAGTCATGCTACATTAGGGGATTTTGGGCCCAAGTTCGTCCATGACCATGTACTTCTCCCTGACTTTCTTCACAGAGAAGGACTCATACTAAATACTCCCTCTATTGCTAAGCAAATGACTGTGCTAAAGGTCTCAGCTTCAGAATTAGGACCTACTATCACAAACGCAGGCACTGCCAGGGTCAAACTCTGCCTCTGCTTTGCAGTTCCCAGGAGAACTCCATACACCATTCCCCGGGGTTGTACATCTGTTGCTGTGTGTATGAATAATCACACAGAGATGAGAATTGCCAAAGGCACGGCAATTTTTTATTTATTTATTTTTATTTTACATCTGGTAATTGAAAATAAATTGCCATTCCTCGCAGCTGGTAGCACACATTTTAACACGAAGCACTGAAACAGCAGCGTGTGCCACAGCAAGATCTCACCACACGGTGGGGAACTGTAGCCAGTAGTGGAGCAAGGCCAGCAGACAGCTCAGGAGAATCGCAACTACACCCTCCTCTGACACCTCAGCAGGCCCAGACAGAGCAACTCCTAAGTGATCCAATTAAAAACAGTTGTATTTGCTTATTAAAGCTCTACCCACATTCACTTTGGACACTATCAAATTTTTGGGCTGGAAGCATTTTCTCCTAACAGTGTCAGCCAGCCCTATATATCAGATTTTACCTCCAGAGGTAAATATTCTGAAAGTAATACAAGTGTTTAATGAGGCCAATGTTTAATCTGATAGAAAATCAGTGAAACTTGAAAACCAAAGACATATACCTGTTTGTGTTTGCTCATAACTTTGCCTCAGAGCACTGAAACTCTGCCTTCAGATGTGCACTGAAGTCAGTGCAATTCACTGCGCAACAGAACATCGACTGCTCTTCAGCATCACCCAGACAATTCAATCCAGACCACGCTGACCTACCTACCTACTGTTCATATCCATATGTGCAGAACACAGTAAGAGACGGTCACCTAAGCATTCAAAATTAGATGGTAACTTTCAAGTCTCAATCTACAATTCTAAACATTACTAGGACCCTGAATGAAAAAAGTGCCCTCACAAAGGAATTAATGTGTCTTAAATGTAGCCGCTACAGCTTAGATACCCCAAATCATCAATCAGTGCTTAAAATCTGAAGTGTAATTTCCAATGACAATCTGGCTCAGAACACAGATACTAAAGGTATTACCCTGACTTCCACTCCGGCTCATTCATATCCTAACAACTTGCACTTAACAAAAGTTAATTTGGTTTAGCTTTGGATTTGAAAAAAAAAAAAAAAGCAACAAAAACAAAATCAAACAAAAAACTTCTTCTATTCTTGATAGAAATCTACAATTCTAATTAATCTCTTCTGATGTCCCAGCCAGCAATACATGACTGTATCAATTTAACAGACTGTCAGATACACAAACTAATATTACCAGTTTTTCAGTCCCCTGTTTGGCAGACACTGCATTAGCTGTCAGACATTAATTCTGAAAGAAATGCCATTGTCCTTTCCTCCTAAGGACAAATGAGATATCCACTCTGGAAAGGAAGCCAGATACTTAGCCTTGATGACCGACCTTAGCAACAAGCTCAGCATGTGATTTATTCCCTAGAGGTGTGATTACAAGCAAATGTCTCTTCAGATGTCTCCAGTTTGGGAAATATTAAAGAAATAGAGTAATTTCTTATTCCTCAGATAAGGGAACACTCCTTGTATCATACTTATGAGTTCATATATCACACCTACTAACATTATATCATCTGCACTAACAGCAAGAGCCATTTGCTGGAGACTGTATGCACAGTACAAGGAGAAAGAAGAGTCTGGAGTGAAAAAATGCACTTGACTACAAAACCAAATACAACTATTTATTCCTCTACCTTTTTATGTTTAGTTTCAATGTTATTGCCTTGGACTCTGAAACACCATCAGTTTCCGTAACAGTGGTATCAGAGAATGTACTTCTAAACACAAGCTCCCAGCTTTAGAAACCAGTTTAAAGACTTTAGGTTTGATTCAAAGCATCTCTGGTCACAGAGGCACTACACTAAACAGGTGCTTAAACGCTGTTCCTACACCATGTCACATTTAGACACTATTCTCTTCTGATTTTCATTTAAGTTGTACTGGTTTAGCTGGGATAGAGTTAAATTTCTTCATAATAGTTTGCACGGTGCTATGTTTGGGATTTGACAGGAAAACAGTGTTGATAACACAGGGATGTTCTAGGTATTGCTGAGCAGTGCTTCCACAGTCAAGGTCCTTTATGGTTGTCATGCTTCCCTATCAGAGAATAGGCTGGAGGTGCACAAGGAGTTGGGAGGGGACACAGGTGGGACAGCCAACCCCAACTGACCAAAGAGGTACTCCATATCTTATGACATCGTGCTCAGCAATAAAACTAAGAGTGAAATTTACTAAGATGCCATTGCTCAGGGACTGGTGGGGCATCAGTAGTAAGCAACTGGAGTTTTCTGCATCACTTGTTTTTCTTATCTTTTTTTTTTTATTAAACTTAGCAAACTGTCTTTATCTCAACCCATGAGTTTTCTCACTTTTATCCTTCTGATTCTCGCCCCGATCTCAATGAGGGGGAGTAAGCAAGAGGTTATGTGGTGCTTTGGCTGCCCACCAGGTCTAATCCACAATGTAAGGTAAAGAGCTCAAACTTTTTGGAGGACAAATAAACTTACCCTGTCCAGGTTCATACTGATTTACAGTCAGTTGATCAGGTTTATGTTTGATATATCCCTGCTTCAAGCACTTCTCCAAGAATAGGTCGCAAATTTCAGGAAGACCTAGTTACAGAAACAAAACTATAATCAAGACAGGATAGCTTTTTACATTTTTATCCTTTCTTTTCACAATAAATGTAATAGCTGGAAAAAATACATAGAAACAGCTTCACATATACATAAATCCACCTTTAATAATGATCACTTTACATTTGCTGTAACACGCATATCAGAACTGAAGCCCTGATCTGCAAGTCCAATATATTTATAACATCTCACAATTAGAAAGACCATTCCACCAAGGCCTCCGCATTCAGAAGTGGATCAGGCCTACTCCTTACAAATGCAAACTGCACCATCTCTAAATAAAAGTATATCGAATCAGAGGCAAATTACAGAAAAAAAGTTGCAGTCAAAAAGCAAAATTATTATACAACAAGTCAGATGCTGTGCAGAGAGCTCTCTAAATAAATTTATGTCCTAAAAATCTGTTACTGAATTAGATTAAATAAGATCTGCTAAGGTTAAACTGGTTTTGGAACAGGAATGAAAGTTACAGTCCTTCACTGAATCTTTCATTTGCTATTTTATCTGAAGACTTCATTGTAAAATTCTGTTTGAGGTAACACCCACAAACATGTCAGCAACAGCCTTTCATGAATCTTTTTTTTTTTCCAATTGTTCTCCCCCAATGAAGTGTTTATGCTTTTCTCACACAAATTATTCTAGCTGTGAGACTAGAGAACAACTCAAATATCAATGCTTTTATGATCATATAGCTTCACTGTTAAAACCACAATGTAGCCAGAATCCTTCTGTTGGAAGCTACATCCACCCCAGTACACACACATCACCTTAAACACCTTCAAGCTTTATAGGAATTTAACTCCCCTATTTTCCTATTTTTAAATCTAAGACTATAAGATGACTCATTCACTTTGCTCTGACTCACAGCTCTGAACTCCAAATAAGAGTTACTCAAACCTTTTCAAAATTGCTTTCAGTCCAAAGGAAATTTTATTTTGGTGTGCATCCAGCAAGCTTCAAGCTAGGTAAATATACACAACAATATACATCACAACCCCCAAACAAATGAATATGTAATTTCTAATGTGATTGTTTTATGAAACAAAAGCTAAAAAAGAATGACAATTACAATCCCAAAAGCCTTATTTGACTGGACCTCACAAGGCAGCAACCTGTGGCTGCAACGGTTGGAAAACAAGCCTCAAGCACTCACAATACTTCAAAATAGATCCTATTCAAAAGCACTGTTCAGTGTGTGCTTAAGATACAGTGAAGGCTCTCCTTTTATCAGAATCTCACATCTCAGTGAGGCTTAAAGGCTTTATATAATGGTTCAAACATCAGAACAAAATAAGTATGATTTAATAAAGAAGTTCTCACCTCCAGGTAAAGGTCTGTCTTTATCAACATTGTTGTTATCATAGCAAAACTCATATCCGAAATGTTTTACTCTTCTATGTTTTAAAGTCTTCTGGGCTGTAAAGAGACAAGTTTAAAGTAAGATTAGACTACATAAAACAGTATAGGCAATTTGCTATACTTCCCTATTCCATCTGACCTGTTAAATCTAAACATCCTTCAATTAACCGTTGGAAGAATGTATGTGACCCTTGTTCTTCATGACACACACTTTCTGCCTTATTATCTTTTGTATTTGCATCAAGCATCACATTCCCTGCTGTTTGAAGTCAAAAAATGGTTTTGTACATGCAAGAAGTAGAGAGCGCGTATCTTCTTCAGTCATGTTTAATGCATCTTTAGTCTTGTCCCCGAACCCGCACTTGATTAATATCCTATGGATCCAGGAGGATCCTTTACTTCCACCAATCACCAAGTTACGTGCTAGCTAAGGTCAATATAACCATTTGTGTTGCTTCAAGGAACAAAATTTACAGAGAAACCTTGAAGTGAATTCCAAGAACAATTAATTTATTAAGCAATTCAACTCCACAGAGCTCAAGTGAAAGCACAAAAGCATCCAGAATATGTGTTTCAATGACTTCTTTTTGATTTAAGAGAAGACACAGCTCCCCAGTTGCACACCAAATTACAAAAGTAACCTTCACAAGAATAGTCTCGTGCTTGGCTTAAGACACATGAAGAAGACTTTAGTTGTTTCTGGATGCAGCAATATTATTCAAGTAAATCCATGCCAGAGTATCAATTCGGACCACTTGCCCCCAGGAGTTTATCACTTCCAATATAAGACCCAATTTCTATAACACTAAGAACAAATACACAGTGATTTCAAACAATACATTTACCAAGATGGAGACTTCTTGTAAACTGAAACTGCAGGAAAAAACAGCATAAAAGTATGGAAGGTCTGGATTTCTATGGTTTTGCCCACCATTTTGAGTATCTTCATCTCCTATCCAGTCAATACTTTCCAACATCCTGCTTTCTTCCTCTGGAGAAATAACCCTTTCAATGACCATTAGGCCTGGAGGCAAGCTTGTTGGAACAGCATTCTTCCAGAAAACTAGGGTGGATGGAAACAGAGAATATTGTCACTGTTTAGAGAAAATAAAACTATGTGTTCCCTATAGGGATATTTATATATATGAGCATATAGTATAGCTGTAGAAATATTTCCTTTAATGATACAATGGAGCCTTCATTGAGGTCTTATTTGGTGAATGAAAGATCCCTTTTTGACATGACAAAACACAGCAAGGTCCACATTTTGCATCATGCACGGCACTTTCTAAAAATTTTACTGCATAAAACCAACAAGACTCCACACTATTCAAACACACAACCATTTGTGATTTTCCTGTCAAAATAATGGTAAGAAGAATTTCCCAATCACCTCAGGATTCTACCTGCATTTCATTTTAATTTTCTAGAACTTTGGTGATTTACCAAATCACCAGATTACTCTGTCCAGTGAAGCAATCTGTAATCAAATATGGAGGAGTATAATGCAATATCCAGATGAACATAAAATATTGGTGATGCAGGGACCCTCAGTTTGCTATCCTAAGAGTTTTAAAAAAGCTATTCACTGGCAGAATGTACAGACCAACACCAGGAACCCTTTTCACTAGACACTGCAAAGGCTCATAGAAAGAGTGACAGTTCTTATCCTAAACAGCCTATAGTCAACCATTAAAAAAAAAAAGCCTGGAGACAAGGGAAAAAAACCCAGAAATTATTGTCTTTATTTTCCTTCTTGGAATTGAGATAGAGATCACAAGACCAAGGTCACACAAAAGTCCCAATGACTGTTCAGAGATCTCCTGGGTACCAATTTAGCTTGTTAATCACAAAACCTTCAAATGCAGTATTGAACGGTCTGGAAACTACCTAAAATAGTTTGTCCTCTTGCTTCCCAGTAAAGGAGTTCAAATTAGAGTATCCTATCATTAAGTACAGGAGGAAAGATTATTTTATGTCTTGAATCCTAGATTCTGGCTTTCATTCTCTGTGCCTACTTACAGATCCCAGTGTGCTTTTAACTATATTTACAACCTAGGAAGTAAAAGCAAAAGTCTGCAAGGAGTTGGATATATAGGAGAGCAGAAAAATGATACCTTTTTCCACAAAATTAATATATAGAACAATGTTTTGACTGAAGTCTTCCAGTGTTACTTCTTTTCCATTAAGGGCATCAAAGGCTTTCTTGGCTTCTTCTGTCGTCCCGTATTTCACAAATGAATATGGTTTATTTGGTGGCATTAAGAGCATTTCCACCAAGCCATATTCTTCTACTATCCTGAGCAGTTGGTGTCTACTCATCCCATTACCAAGACCAGCATTGGCAATAACCAGACTCTAATTGAAGAGGAATTAAAAAAAAATGGATAATTAGCAATTACTATTGATTCATTTAAAACTAACACTCTACCAAGAGACTAGCTCTATAAAGAAAAATTAAGTAAGTCCATTAGTATTCTTTTACGTATTCCACACAAGATATTTAAATTTTAATGAGTTTGGTATATGAGGCTGAGACAACCTTTGTTTGCCCAACACATATTCTGGCAAAAAGGCCTCCCCCAGTAATGCATGTAGTTACTATTAACAAGAGCACTTAAGCTTCAAAGCAGCATAAAATCATAGAATTGCTTTGGTTGGAAAAGACCTTCAGATCATCAAGTCCAACCATCAACCTACCACTGCCAAGCTACCACAAAACCACGTCACTCAACACCACATCTACACGTCCTTTGAATACCTCCAGGGATGGTGACTCAACTGCTTCCCTGGGCAGCCTGTTCCAACGCTTCACAGCCCATTCAGAGAAGAAATTTTTCCTAATATCCAATCTAAACCTCTCTGGTGCAACTTGAGGCCATTTCCTCTCGTCTTATCACCTGTTACTTGGGAGAAGAAACTGATCTCCACCTCACTGCAACCTCCTTTCAGTTGTAGAGAGCAATACGGTCTCCACTCAGCCTCCTTTTCCCCAGTGATACTGACATGCACAATTTTGGAGGTTTCTAAAATTGATTTTTTTCCAGAGACCTGCTACCACTAACAAAAACAAAGTAAAAAACCTTGGAAACTGTGATTCTTTTTTTTAAGAATGGTTTTCTCATGTTCGCCAAGGAGCCTCTACAAGCACAAAGATTGTTATTTCCAGTCCCAACTCATGTCCCAATACATCAGGTTCACTGAAAAAAAAAACTATGAGCCTCTAGAAACAGAGCATCTAGTTCTGCTCCAGCACTCTTATCTAAAAATTCTCCTTCTTGTTTTCATAAACAAAAGGGATTTCTGTCCCATCCTTAGCTAACACAGAGTACTTCACACACAATGCCCAATTATTAATTCTACACTTTCATAGTGATTTATGTCCAAAAATATAAAGGACTGCACTTTGTGAGGATTGCTGCTGGTTTGCCAAATATTAGAAGAAACAACAAAACAGAACTTTTCAAATTACTTTTATTCAAGAATTATCCTTTGAAAATACAAAGGCCTTTTCAAAATAAATTAATAAGTTCTTTTGACATCTAAATAGCTATATGGCATAACTTGATGTTCAAACTAATCATGGTGGTTGAAAGAAATTTAAATCCCTTTTTAAGGCCAAATGAGGATGTGGTCTTGAAGTTTTGATTGAGCTATGGTGACTCCAAACAGCTAGCAACAATTTACTCAGATTGACTCCATCTAATACCTTTCCAGAAAGCTTTCAGACAATCTTTTCCTTAAACTGAAGAAACAGGATCAAGATGAACAAGGCTAGAATAAATGATACTGCTCCACAGTGCTTCAAGCCATCAGCATCTCCTCATAACTGAAGGAAGGAAATTATAAACTCTCTCTCTGACTTCTTCTCTTTCTGTCTGCAAGTCCCTGTCACTTTTTGCTATACAAGCATCTGCAAGGTCACCCTCTGATCTGCTGTAACTCTCTACTGTGGCAAAAAGCTACAGATGAAAAAGTTGAGTCATTTTCTGTTAGTTAGGTGGTTTATGGTAAAATTCATTGAGCATCATAAGAAAGCAAAATTCCTTCCTATCTTGTCCCCTTTTGCACAAGGGAAGAGAAAGTTGTCCCCTTTTCAACAGTTGCAAGTCAGTCAATCAGTTCAACCACCACAGAACCACAGACTAAATCAATTTAGGTGAAGAAAACAATGTGGAAAACATTTCTAAGATAGTAATGTTTTTAACAGAGAGTTTAAACTAGACAAATCACACTTGATAGAGAAGTAGAGAGGAAAGATACAAAAGCTAAAAGCCACAGGAAAAAAAACATCACAAAGAAGCTCATCTGCTTCAACAAGGTAACAGTAACATTTCCCACACTTCCTCCCCCTCCTTATCCAAAGGCCATCAAAGTCTCCACAGACATTAAACTACCGAAGTACAGTTCTGCTTTGAAACCAAAGAGGCACAGAACACCCTCAATCTCAGGAAGTGCATTTTGGAGGAGAACTGCATTTTAGACAAAGTATATGTAGGAATCAAACACAGATAAGCAGCAGTTTCACACTGCCATTACAATCAGAACTGCCAGTTACCTGTGTGGCATGGGAGGTGCACTCAATGCCCTCATGTCTCATCAATGTGTGTTGAGCTCTGACCTGCTTCCTCAATACCTTTTTCTTCATTTTATGGACTTTCAAATGATCTTCGCCGTTTTTAACATCTATGCTGGTGACCTGGGAAGCAAAAGTAACAACACACAGTAAGTGTTTCACATATGTGAAAAATTAAACACTTTGGTGTGCTCCAGAGAGATGGCCTCCCCATTCATGTCATCTCTGGGATATTAATAGGACTTTCAATAATTCCTGCCAGGACTTCCACGATGCTAGACTTTGATTTCCAGTTTTTCTCTTCTTCTCCACTGCTTTATTCACAATATCACTACATCCATTTGCAATTTTTAACCTGCTTGCCTCTCCTGTTTTCGTACTTCACACAGTTAATTTCCTTCTCTCTACAGTCTCTCCAAAGCAAAACAAGAGAAAAAAAAAATATATGTGGAGCTGCCGTGAGATTTGTATAGTCCTAGCTTCTAAAGTATTCTTGCCTCACCGAATGCTTGACTTGGAGATGAACTGTTTCCATTTGGCTCCTTTTTCCTAATTGCCACTTTCAAGTGAATATGACATTTGGCAAAAAATGGCTTTTCTGAGAGTATAAAAATGTGTCCAAGAACTAGCAACCAGATGCTCCACACCTCATTTAGCACATCTCCCAAGGCCAAACTTCACGTAAATCACATCCCTCTCATAAGAAGGAACAGAAGACCGTGTGCCCATATATTAACTATTGAATTTATGGCAACACAGCATTTCCCTACCAATGAGTTACTTAAGGGTCACCGGCCTCCAGGTTTTGTGACATCATTTGTCACTTCTGGTCTCACAAACTCCCATATTTTCCAGCCAAGATGTCTCAATATTCAGCAAACTAGCACAGAAACTGAGGTTTCAACCTCAGACTACTTTCCATCCTTTCATAACCTCTAAACTGAACAACAGACCAAGGGACAGATGAGGTATGACTCAGCTGCATAAACAACAGCACTTAAAATTGTCAGAGATGTCCTAACCCCACACTGCCTGGCCTTTCACATGGTGCTGCTCAAGAAGCTGAAGACCTTCCTCATGTGCTGTGTCATGCTTGCCAACACAGCTCCAGCCCCTGAAGGCATCTGGGTGATCTCAGACAGCATTACCTGCATCGCCGAGACAATAGAACCTTCCCTTGGTTTGTCTAACTGGGCCTAAACTCTCTGCCTTGGCTGTTGCATCATTACTCAAGGCTCAATTCTGCAAGCACAGAAACCCAACAGTCTCCCTTGATTTTGGGACTAAGGAATCACACTCAACTGTACAGAACTAGAAAACTTTATTTGGTAGCATCTCACTCCCCTTACAAAGGCCAACATGACTACAGACGAAAAAGGGTGCAGCAGTGAATTATTCACTACTAGTATCACTTCCCTTCACAAGTATTAAAAAAAAAAAAGGTATCTCCTGAAAATACACTGCAACAGTCTCCCCTTCTAACGGCAGCTCAGGTTATACAGGTCAAGCAATTGGCCTGAAATTACTACAAATATTAATGTAAAACTTTAATGTAGTGCAGGAACCTTATTTGCTGTAGAAGCCACGGCTGAAAGGTGATCGTGACTGGAGCGGAGCTAAACGGCAGCCGTCAGCAGAGGGAGCACCACGCTCAGTTACCAAGTTTGGCAGTTTATTACTCGGGTTTGGGTTGGTTTTGTGCTGCAGACACGTAAACATAAACGTATACAGACGCTGCACAAACACTGACATCAAAACTCGTGGAACAAAAGAAATTCAGGAGCCCTGGAGGGGTGATTTAAGAGTTCCAGCATCGGCTAAAGTATGCCTGAAAGCCCCAGTACATCCCTGCGGCCATCCCCACCCCATCTGCCAGTGCCAGCCAGCACTTACACCTCCCACCGACACCCCTCAAATCCATGGGTTCTGGGAACTCGTAAAAAACCAATGATAATAGGAACAACAGCAGAAATGCGCGCGTGCTCCTCTGCCCTCAGTAAACTCGGGGGGGTGGGTGTCAAAGCTGCGAGGAAAACGCTGGGGTTGACTTGGCCTTGTCCCCCCCTCACATTACCTCGCCCTGACAGGGCCAGGGGCCCGGGCCGGGCCAGGCCAGGCCGCCGCGGACTCGGCTCCCCCGCGGCGGGGAGGGGAGGGAAGGCCGCAGTGGGAGCCGCCCGCTCTCCCGCCGCCCCCGCGGTGCCCTCACCCCCTTCAGCGCCGAGCCAGGAGCCGCAGGCTCTTCAGCCCCGGGCCCGGCCGGCGCGGCACGTTACCTGGCTGGAGGCGGCCATGTTGGGGCAGGCAAACAGCCCGCCGCCGCCTCCTCCGCCTCGTCATGGCGGCGCTCCGCCTCCGGCCCGCCCTGGGCGGGTGGGTCTGCACTGCCGGGCGGCAAGCGGCCTGAGGGGCTTCTTCGCGACGAAATATCTGTCACGTTATGGCAGGGGGAGGGAAGGAGAATCTTTCCGAGGCGAACTCTGGTTTTGCTGAGCGTAGGCGAGCGTCCCGGGCCGTGGTAACTCAGAGGAGGCGCATTCGGGCCCGGGCTCACGGCGAGGAGGGAGACTGGGCAGCGTAACGAGGAGAGAGAGCGGCCTTCTTCAGCCTCCTGCCTTGGACACACGCTTATTGTAGCTGTTTCATATCCTCGTTTCTGCTTACCCAAACATCACCCGGCTTCACTTGCCTGCAGCCCTCTCCTCGCTGCCTTTCCTCTCCAAATAAAGCCTGCGCCTTGTTATCCTCCTCATCAATAAAGTCTTCCTCCAAGTCTGCAAGAAGAAAAGCAGTGTTTGAGCCCCCGCCTCAGCCCTATGCCTCACTCCTTTGCTGAGGACAATTCAGGGCAGAGCCTTCTCCAGCACAGGGGATCCCCAAATGCCCACATCCACACAGCAGGGTAAAGACAGCTTCCCTCAGGCTGACGGCGCTCCCGCAAAGGGACCATCACCTAGAAAGGTCCATTACAGATCACGTTATCTTTGGCACATCACACACAATGGACAGAGGAAGACAAACCCATGCCAATGCACCCATGGCCACATGAAGACCAAGCTTCTGGTTGTACATACATATTTCCCCACACCACTTTTCAGCTTGCTGGCAACCCTGCTAAGGCTGCTTAGTAAACCCACACTGTTGAGTGACTGGCCTTGCTCAAAGCACCTCCACAGCTTGCTGGCTCCCTGCACAAGAAAGTGAGCCCTTAAATCAGAGACAGAGCATGTAATTCTTCTTTTCCCTTCATTTTTCTGTGCCGTGATAGACTAACTGAGCTTCATACTATGGCCCTAGGTATAACCCTTTCCTCCTTTGTCCAAGATACTGAAGTTCAGCATTACCTACTATCTCCATCTTTACCTAACAAATATTCTACTTCTCACTGTAGCTTATTACCTAAAAACTGGGGTTTTTTCCCCCTCTGTATTTAAATACCAAGCTGATTTTTTTTCCTCCCTCAACCTCCTGTGGGTATTTAGCCTTTCTCAGGATAAGTTAAGTTAGGTGTGGGATTCCCAGGTGCATGGTAGGTAAGGTAACTGATGAGCCTATAAACCTGTAGTCAGACACCAGCTCCTCAGCTTTGTCCCGCATCCACACTCTGGAGCAGTCTACCTATGCTGTTAGGTAGGGCTGTACTTACTCAGAAAAAAAATAAATCTTGGTGTCCCTTGGAGCATATACCATGCCCTGTGCCAGGGATACAGCTATCCCATGTGCTGGAGGTACAAGCTCACTATGGATGTGAGGCTGATGGGGCACATCCATCAGCTTGTGCAGGTAGTATTTGGTCAGAAAAGTGGTCAATTCTGTCCTTCCACCGCAGTCTGTGGCATTACATCACTCCCCATCTTTAACCCACGCTGTGCATTGCATGGTATTGTGATAGCATGGATCTTTTACTTAAGTTTTCTCATAGGTAAAGCATGCATATTTACTGCCTACCTATTAAGAGTATAGCAGGGAGCTTGTTAACACTAACCATCAGCATTGTCTGGTCTTTGTGTAAGCCAGAGTGAATGGGAGGAAAGAACAACCCGGCAACGTCAACAGCTGCTGTCTCTATTAAAATATTCTCTGAGGCCCTCAGCTCTGGAAACCACCAAACTTGAAAGCTACTGAAAGGATGATCCTGATGAAAGTGGTTTGTAATTCATTACTAATTTGTTCTGACAAGTGAAAAATACTGGCCCAAAGGTTGTTTCTATTAAGTGCCCACGTTCCAGTTCAAAGCCCTGATTGTGTGGGTTCTCCATTCTTCTACTTGGCTGTCCATGTGTGGTTTATCCCACTGGGATGCTTTGTTGGTATGTAAGAAGTAGAACATAGGCTTAGTGGAACATTACATCTCAGAGCACAAACCAAGAGGTTCTGGCAGCTGCCTGACCTTGTGTTTGCTAGTCATTGTTTGTGTTTATTCTCTTTAATTATTTTGAAAACTGCTTTCTGGGGGAGAACAAACTCACTGTGCATTTTTTTCTTGAAATAGCTCTGTATGATTAGCATTGGTCAAGAATTTGTGATGCATATTGCAATAACATTTCCTTTGTAAATGCATCAACATTTTACTTTTATAAACAACATTCTCACATAGGAAAATTCCACCAATTAAAATGAAAACAGTTAAAGGCTAGTTATGGTGTTTTTAATACAAGCTTATTTTGGTCAAACCAGAAACCACTGTTATTCCCTTTATAATTTAAACCCTGGAGCACTGTGCAGTGCCTTCTCATGCTAGATAACACAGGTACAGAGTCCTCCTACAGGTACCACTGTGCTTATTGACCACAAGTGAAAATACATCTCCATATGGTTAACAATACTGTCGCTGACTAGCCCACAAAATAGTTCACTGAAGTGGGGTTTCAAATACATGTACATTTGATGTTAATATAATTTCTGATTAAAAGTGCATTGGGAGAAATCTCAATATTTCTTAAAAAATCACTTTTTTATAATGATAATATTTCAGTCTTAAAATTCAGCAAATATTCTAGTTTGAAATTAAATTTTTGTAGTTTTCTTAAGCAAAAAAATGTTTATATCAGAAAATCTTGTCTCTGGCTCTATTTTTTATTTTAATTGATAACCAGGAAGCATGTCTTCTAAAGCAGAATGTCATGCTCCCACTTCCTCATGGGCGAGAAATAAAATGCTGCTGACTTTTCCCAGGAGCAAATTACGATCCTCATTGTGCTGTTAGCTATTTTATCTTTGCCACATTCACAGGAAGAGTCAAGGCATTTGGCTATTACTTCTAATTTCCCATCTGCTTCATATGATAGTAAGTAAACTGATAACACCATTTCTGTTTCCTCCAACAAAATACAGGTTACTGGTCTATACATGGAAAGACAATCTTACTCACTTCTATACCAATGCAAGCCAAGCCATGCTTTAGCTTAATGTGATCACACTGGATTTCCATCACTTTCAAACCCAATTAAAAGAAAATCACAGGAAGATAGTAGGATTTGCTGTATCAAATCTCTTGATTTAAGAAGCTGCAGTTTAAGAATCATGACAAATAGGATATGTTTCAGGATAGCAGTTTGTAACAGAAATAAGAAGAAACCTCTTAGCACAAAATCCAGCTCAAAATTACCCATGACTAGTACTGCAGAGAAGTACCGTAATAAATGATGAGACACAAGCTGAATTGTTTCAGGATGGCATTCATGTAAGAGTTAAGGACTTTGACAAATATCTGTTGACCTAAATTCAAAATGTGCTAGTGCTGCTGCTTGCGATAGTAAAATTCTCCATAACAGACCTCTGCAATGCCAAAGGCTTATATTTTTCAGGAAGATAGCAAAGCTGGCTCTGTGCTGCATGTCATTTTGATTCTGCATTTTCACTGTTCAGTGCTGGATTTCATATTACTTTCTAAAAAGGAAAAACAACCAAAAAAAACCCAAAAAACCAACTTAAAGAATTTTTTAGCAATTGCCTAAGACCAAAAAAAGATGTGAGAAATATAGGCCGTGGTAAAATCAATGGGAGTTGTGCCAGTTATTACAACGAAGGCATATTTTATCCTTATTTTAAAATAATAGTAAACAAAAATTTTTTGTTCTCAAGAGACTTGAAACGTCAAGTAATAAGAATATGCTTTCTGATTTCTAAGCTTTAGGCTACACTCTCTTCATACCTCCAAGCTTTTTTCCACAAACATAAGATTTTGGAGTACATTTTTTTTCTTTTCCTTAAATAAAAGCTGAAAAATTCCCGAAATCTCTAGACTCAGGGTAGTGGAACTTTGAAAAATAAATTAAATAGCTTAAATTATATGATAAAACTGAAAGATTTTTTCTGAGCAGGCACGTTTCAGGTTTGTGTTGGGACAGCTAGAGATCTTGTCATCCAGAGAACTGAACCAGTCAGTGAATGTTTAGGACTGGGCAGAGATTAGCTAAATTGAGCACTTCTGCTATACCATGAGGTTGCATTAATGCAATGTAAGGACGTGCTATCAGAGGATGGAGGAACAATTTTAACTTCTGCTGTCAGACATGCTGCAAAGGTGCGCCTACATTGCTGGGTCACCATTAATTTCTCACTAGAACTGGGAGCAAAATTCTGTGGGCTTCAATTAATAGAAAATCTTTGACCCCTCCTGGAGAGTTCTCAGAAAATTCTTCTGAGCTTTCAGGCACAAGACAGAAGTTATGGTAGTTGGGATGTGCATGCCACACATCGGAAGACCTTTAGTTATCAGTACTGTGATCCAAAGCTTGCACATCTGCAATCTTGGAGACTTAGGCGATTAAATCTTTCCAAAGGCGTGCCTTCTCTGCTGTAAGAATACTTACTGACATTTCCAGCCTCTAGGACAGGGAGCCTCATGCAGTTTGGAGCAATGGGCCACTGTCAGGTTGTCATCAGGTGCTATGCACCTTTATCATCACGGTTTTGTTTGAAAATACTATAAAATTACAATACTATATGATAGGTCTGTGAACCGTCTACCAGAGGCTTGGAGATTATTAAATCCATAAACTGCAGCTGGAAAGAGTTCTCAAAAAAATTCCTGAAGCCTCTGTTGGCTCTCTGCTGAACAGGACCTGCTGCTTTCACTGCCCAGATGACTCTTTCTCTTCAGTTTGGGCAACGTCTAAGGAAAATCTTCTTGTGCCTGTCTAGTACACTTTCCAGGGTATTAGAAAAGTAGTATGAAGTACTGAAAGAACCATACAAAATATTGATTTCCCTCCAAATCACTGAACCCATCAACACAGGGTTTAGTTTAGCCTTGAAAGCAACACTGTTAGAAAGATTCAAACAAAATATTTCTGTTTTTCTCTGGCACAAAGGCTGAAAATCATAATC